TGGGTATTGAGGAGGGCACGTTCTGCATGGAGCACTGGGTGTTATGCACGAACAGTGAATCATGGAACACTTCATCTAAAACTAATGATGTAATGTATGGGGATTAACATAAGAATAAAAAAAATTTTTTAAAAAAAAGGAGGAGATGTTCATGATGCAGGTGTCATGCTCATTGATTAATTACACATCACCTCCCTCACCTGGGGTGGGGGAGAACCTATCCCCATCTTTCATGCCTCAAGGTTCCCCTGCTCACCCCTGCTGTGTCCCACAACTGGCAGGACTGACCCTCTGGGGCTTCTAGAAGCTGTAATTGGCCAGGTAGTGTCTGCCTTCCTGGTGGGAACAGAGGCCATGGGCAGGGACCGGGCGTGGGGGGCGGTGGATGGCGGGGACCCTGGAAAGTAGGAGTGGTAAATCGTCAAGGTATCTTCAAGGTCCATGGGGTCATCGACAGTGTTCTGGCGTCAACTTCCTCTTCTGTGGTCACTTTTCAGACATCAGCCCTAGGCTTCCTACTGGGGCTTCCTCTCTGTCCTGTGACACCAAAGCACCATGACTCTTACCCCAAAGTTGTTGCTGCTGCTGCCACCGCTTTTTCTGTCCCTGCTGTGGGCAGGTGAGTGGGCCGAGGGTGGGGGGCAGGCGGGCGGGGGCTGCTGCTGACCCTCGATTCCCCACAGGGTCCCTGGCTCAGCGTTCAATGTTCCAGCTGCAAGTGCAGGAGACCGTGAAGGTGCAGGAGGGCCTGTGTGTGCATGTGCCCTGCAAATTCTCCCACCCCCGACAAGGATACACTGACGATGACCCAGCTTATGGCTACTGGTTCCAGGAAGGAAGTGATCACAGCCAGGATGTTCTAGTGGCCACAAACAACCCAGATCAAGACGTGCAGGAGGAGACCCAGGGCCGATTCCACCTCCTCGGGGACCCCCAGGACAACAACTGCTCCCTGGACATCAGAGATGCACAGAGAAGGGACTCGAGGACATACTTCTTTAGGGTGGAGAGAGGGTCTTATGTGAAATATAATTACCTATGGAACCAGCTCTCCGTGCGTGTGACCGGTAAGGAACGGGGTCAAGGAGAGGACACATGTCCCATGCATGGATCCTGAGGGCTCCTGGGGCAGGGCTGGGAAGGGACCCCCTGGTCTCCATCCTGGCTGGGGAGGAGACGGCTGGCCTGGGGTCGAGGCTGCTTCCAGGGGCACACTCAGGGTCCCACTCCAGGATCTCTGTCTCTCTCCTCCTCAGCTCTGACACAGATACCTGACATCCACATCCAGGGGCCCCTA